ATGTAACGGAAAATTGTCATTCGTAAACCCATTACATCGTGCAAATGCTGCGCCAGACAGCATCTTGACGAAAAATTTATATCTTTCCTTATGCGTTTTCTTTTCTTTCTTCTCTCTCCTTCTCTCTCTCTCTCTCTCTCTCTCTCTCTCTCTCTCTCTCTCTCTCTCTCTCTCTCTCTCTCTCTCTCTCTCTCTCTCTCTCTCTCTCTCTCTTCTTCTCTCTCTCTCTCTCTCTCTCTCTCTCTCTCTCCGCTCTCTCTCTCTCTCTCTTCTCTCTCTCTCTCTCTCTCTCTCTCTCTCTCTCTCTCTCTTATCACTCAGACCCTCCACCTTATCCCTTACTCTCACAGTCTTCCTTCGCTTCCTCGCCGTCGCCTTCTCATCCTCTCTCTCCTTCTACCTCTCTCTCTCACCCTCATCTCCCTCGCTGTCTCCTCCCACATCCTCACCTCGCCCTCTCCCTCTTCTTCGCCCTCTCCCTCTCCCTCTCCCTTCCTCCTACCCCTCATATCTTTCATCATATCATGAGACTCGACCCCTTCCATCCCCTCCCCCACCTCCCCTCTCCCCGTCTCCCCGTCTCCCCGCCTCCCTCAGGAAGTTGCCAGTGGCTACATGTAAACAAGTAAGCTTCATTAAAATGTGACGACCCTCTCAGCATGCCCTCCCTTCCTCCTTCCCTCCCCTCCCCTCTCCTCCTCTCTCTCCTCTTCCTGACTTTCCACCCTTCTCCCGTCCTTCCCCACCTTCCCCCTCTCCCCCCCTCACCCCCGTCTTGCTCCTCAGTTTCCTCCTTCCCCTCTCATCCTCCCCCTCCTATTCCTACATCCCCCTCCCCTACCCCTTCCCCCCCTCCACGAACACCTTCCCCCTCCCCCTCCACCCCCCTCCCACCCCATTGTAAAGAAAACGCCGTGGAGATTCGAGATAAAATTAATTAGCGTAAGTAAACAGTTTTCCTCCTAAGTTCATTATTTTCTCTTGTTCTGTTTGCTCTGACGTTGCCCCGAGTGATGTGGCCGCGCAGATGGTGTGCAATGAGGAGGTGGAGCGAGTGAGGGAGAGAGTGAGAGATTGAAAAAGAGAGAGAGTGAGTTGAGTGAGTGAGAGATAGTAAGAAAATAAGTGTGTGAGAGAGTGAGTAAGAGAGAGAGGGAGAGAGAATGAGTGAGTGAGAGATAGTAAGAGAATAAGTGAATGAGTTAGTGAGAGAGAGAGAGAATGAGAGATACAGAGAGAGAGAGAGAAAGAAAGAAAGAGAGTGAGTGAGTGACAGATGAAGAAGGTTAGAGAACGGGGAAGGACAGGACAGGCAAAGCGAAAAATATGACAATAATTACAACAATGAAAAGTAAATCGGTAACCGAAGAGGAACGACAAAAAGAGAGAAAAATAAATACGGTAATGAAGCAAAGAGACAGAAAGAAAACGGAGCGATAACGAGACGAAAGAAAACGGAGCGATAACGAGACGAGAGAAAACGGGAAGTCACAAGAGACATCCCGCTCGAGAAACGTCGCAGCAGAAGACGTTTTCAGAGAAGTTTCTAGATCAAAGGCAATCCTTTTCATCCAGTTACGGGATGTGGATGAATCTCAGGGAAGCAAAGTGGATCCTATTTACGCAATAATTACACCACTTCCAGGAGCACAACGGCGTTATATTAATAGAATAGTCTCCCCCTCTTTGTCTTCACTCTCGTCGCCTGTAATTATTTACTCTTCTCTTCGTCTTGTTTTCTTCCAATTTGCTTCTTTGTCATCTTTTCATTTTTTTATTTCTGCATCTTTTTTACATATGTCAATTCTATCCCTCCTCCTATTTCTATTTTGTCTTTTTTTCTTTCCTTTTTACGTATATAGTATTACTTTTCCATTTCCCCCTTTCTACTTTTCTTTATCACCCTTTTTTTCCTCCTTCAACATCACCATCGTCTTCGAGATGACAATACACTCTTCGTCATCAGCATCGCCTCCCCCCCCCCCTTCGTTAATGAAGCGCCGACCGTTATAACAGGTGCCCGTACGTGTCCCCTCATCTCATCAGCTGGCGGGGAAGAGAAGACACAAGATCGAATCAAGAGGGGAAGCGTTGGGGATGAGGAGAGAAAGGGGGGTGGAGAGAGAGGGAGGGAGAGGTTGAACTTCATTTCATCCATCTGCGAAAATGTTGTAGGTTTCGTCGGCATGTTGACGTGACTCTGAAGTCATTATTTATCTTTGGGAAAACTTGGGTCGTGTCGACGAGAATCACTTTTAACAAGACAGCTGTGTGTGTGTGTGAGAGAGAGAGAGAGAGAGAGAGAGAGAGAGAGAGAGAGAGAGAGAGAGAAGTGGTGTGTGTGTCGAGAGAGAGAGAGATGTGTGTGAATGTGTGCGTGTGTGTGTGTCGACCCGATTTAGATTTTACTGAGAGAGAAGAAAAAGAGAGAGAGAAAGAGAAAAATAGAGAAAATAAAATAAAAATAAAAAGGTCAAACCGGTGATTCCCAAACCCGAGTCGCCGGCTGTTAACTGTGCCGTCGAGGGCTCGCTTACCTGGATCTAACGGCCACTTGGACAGATGCCGCAGAGCCATGTTCGGAGGGACGTGGAGGGCCATCTATAAAGGGCTGCAGCAGATATTGGCTCTACGGATGGCCACTGGGGAGCGGGGGGGGGGTGAACGGATGCGTGTGGGTGAGATGGATGGATAGGTGTGGGGGCGGTTGAGGGATGGATGTTTTTGTGAGGTGGAGGGATAGGTGGGTAGATGTGTGTAGGTAGAGGACGATGTGATGTGTGTGTGTGTGTGTGCGTGTGTCCCTAACCGAACGCATGGGGGCGGGTTGATAGAGCGACAACACGCAAGCGAGAGAATGTCGACGCGGCCACCTTTTCCTCCCCGAAGGGTTCATCTCGCCAGCGCTTTCCGCCGCAGCGCCCTCAATCGAGCTTCGGCCCCGATATTGAGAGGACGCAGTGTTTTCACGGTGACCCGCTGCCGTGGGGTATCCCGGGCACGTGCAGCCGAGTGTGCGACGCCGCCTCCCACGTTGTCCTGGAGAATCCACATCGTCCTATCGCCATGGCAACACTTACCGTCGTCCCGCCGATCTCTACGGGGTTCTGGCTTTCTGGTTGCGAGAGAGAGAGAGAGAGAGAGAGAGAGAGAGAGAGAGAGAGAGAGAGAGAGAGAGAGAGAGAGAGAGAGAGAGAGAGAGAGAGAGAGAGAGCGCAAACCCAAATCCGAGGAGAATCATGAATCGCAATCAAACAGCCGAACTATTGGCATCTGTCGTGTCGAACTTGGCCTGTCAATAGGAGGACGCAACCTTGAAGGAGGCATCGATCATTCACGGTCCGTTCCGCGTTCCTTCCTGATAAATAGTCTTATTGAACGCGGACCTTCGTCGTTCCCTCGAAGGTGAACTTTCAATGCGCTGCGGTGTTGTCGCGTTCTCTTTTTATTCCCTTCTTCTTTTCCGCTTTTCTGTTTTATTTCATCTTACTAGCTATGTTATAAACCGCTGGATATCGTTAATGGAGACGAAATTGACCTAATCTAGCGACTGCCATTAGCATGACCGTCGGGTGTTTGCACGGACGGGAAGAAACCGCGAGCTTGCGTGCGAGGAACGGCAGGGCAGCGCAAGCGAGCGGCGGCGTTCAATTATTCAGCACGTTGTCATAAACGCCGGAGTGCCTAGGAACGGCGCGTCCCCTCGGAGGACTTGTAGCTCACCTAATATCGAGTTGTTTATCAGCTCGAATGGGGGCCAGGTATGAGTGCCTGACGAGGTATATGACCCTTGGGTGTTATTAACGAAGGAGGAAAGGGAAGAGGGCGAGGGAAAGGGAAAGGAGGCGAGGGAGAGAGAAAGGGGTGCGAGGGGCATCCCCGAGGGAGGAGGAGGAGGGGGGAAAGAGTGAACAAGTATAGGGCAACTGACGATTGAAGAAGAGGTGGGAGGGGGCGAGAACAGTCCGAGTGTATGCCGTAGTGTAAGTGCCGCGAGCCGTGGCACTGGCGACACCCCGCTCGTGGCCCTGTGAGAGGTTGCGGAATGACAGTGACGAAATTTAAAGGCATGTGCGTCCAGGGCCACCGGGGGGAGGGGGAGGGAGGGGGCATCAAGACGACGTGCGAAGACAACGAAGGGGAAGGGGGGGCCAAGGGATAGGAGATCTTGGCACCGGTGCAAGAGGGCGTCTAGGTGGCACTGTGTTTTAGGCCTGGGGATAAAAGCAGAGGAGAGAATGGCAGGATGAGAACTGAGGGATGGAGGCAGAAGGGAAGGGATATGGGGGCAGGGAGGGGGTGGGAAGGGGGAAGGGTTATTGATCACCACCGACCCCCCTTTTCCCCCTCCCCTGACATCCCTCCCACCCTCCTCCCACCCACTCAACTAAGGGCGGTGGAGGCGTCATAAGAGAACTATGGCACTGGCACCTCCAGGGAACTGTACTTGTTGCATTTTCGACGAAGGACTTTGCTACGTTGCTAAGAATATTTTCAAAGTCACTTTTCTTTTTTTCTTTCGTTTTTCTTCTAATCTTGGTATTCCATATTTCTGAAATCTTCTACTGGAAAATGAAATAAGAATATATACTCTGTTTTTTCCACCGATGACATGACAACGTAGAATGCTGAAACCATATGAGAGTTTACGAGCCCGAAAGGCCATAACGATAGACGGGCCAAAACCATTTTTTAAACCTCAGTTTTATTTACTTGTTTATTAAACCGAAATCACATCCGATTTTTTTGTAGTAGATACTTTTTCATTTTTTTCTCTCTCCGTTTTTCGCGACCGTCAACGAAAAAAAAATGATAGACCATAGTATAAACCCATAGAAAAGTTAGAACACGAGCGTAGATGTTTATTATCGGCGAGAGAAAAGTCACCCCGAGGACAAATAGTTATCTTGGAAGAAAGCGCCGGCCATGAAGACAATAAGGAGCCAGGCAGCGATAACAGAGGACCCCACGCCGAGAACAAAAGGCCCCGGAGATATAAAATGGACCCCACAGAGAAAACTATTGGGGTACGGTGTGACAAAAAGTGGCACATCCCGCCCAGACGATCACCTTTAAGTATGAGTGCCTCCGCAGTGCCTCGGTCCCTCACCCTGGCGCCAGAGGAGAGGAAGTGCCTAGGCCTATGGATTTTTTTTTTTTTTTTTGGGGGGGGGAGGGGGCGGTGTCTAAATGATACACATATATATCAAGTGCGGCAGTAAAAGCTAGATGGAATGTTCTTTTTGTGTTCCTTTTTCCCTGACTCCTCTCCCTCTCCCCCCCTCAAGCACGTGGTTTCATTGACTCTCTCTCTCTCTCTCTCTCTCTCTCTCTCTCTCTTCTTTCTTCTTTCTTCTTTCTTTCTTCTTCCTTCATTCTTTCCTTTCTTTCTTCTTCCTTTCTCTTTCTCTCTCTCTTCTCTTTCTTCTTCTCTCTTCTCCTCTCTCTCTCTCTCTCTCTCTCTCTCTCTCTCTCTCTCTCTCTCTCTCTCTCTCTCTCTCTCTCTCTCTCTCTCAGTCACTTCTCTTGCTGCCCTCGAGCTGTTAATTTTCCCTCGGTTGTTTATTGCTCAAGGAAAAAAAAATCCGAATACACATATATAAGAAAAAAATAGAGAACGAGAATTCGGTCGGAAGGGGAGGGAGAAGGGGAGGTTGGGGGGGGATGGAGATGAAATTGTTTCCCCTTCAGAGTTCTCAATAATCCTTTCCGCTTTCTTCACCCTGCCCAGATTACCCCCCTTGCCCTCCTCCTCCTCCTCCTCCCCCCTCTCCCCCTTTTCTCACTCCTACTCCTCGTCTTCTAAAGTCCCTTTCTGGTATACTCCCTTTTCCCTTCTCCTCCTCCCCTTCTCGCATCCCTCTCCCCCTCCTCTCCCACCCTCCACCTCTTCCCCTCCCCCCCTTCCCCTTCCCCTTCCCCTTCCCCTTCCCCTTCTCTATCACCCAACACTCCTTCCCTCCCCCTCTCCCTCCCTACAATCCTTCCTCCCCCACCTCCCTCCTTCCCTTCTTCCTCTCCCCATCCCTCCCTTCTCCACTATCCCTCTCCCCCATCCCCGCCCTCCTATCTCTCCCCATTCCCCCTCCTTATCCTCCCGTCTCGCCCCCACCCTTCCTTCCTTCTCTTCCTTCCTTTCTCCCCCTCCCTTCCTCCCCTTCTCCCCTTCATCCCCACCCTCCTTCTCTCCCCACCCCCCAATCCTATCCCTCCCCATCTCATCCCCCTTCCTCCCTTCTCCCCATCTCATCCTCCCTTCCCCCCCCCCTCTTCCTCCTCCCCCCTCAGCCTCATATCTACGCCCGTTTGTTTAGCTGGAGTTTTAGGAGTCACAGCGCGCGGGTCATTTATTACCCCTCTTCGGTCGCCCCGCGAGAGAGGGAGGGAGAGGGAGGGAGAGAGGGAGAGAGAGAGAGAGAAGGAGGAAGAGGGGGGAGGAGGAGAGAGAGAGGGAGGGAGAGTAGGAGAGAGGGAGAGGGAGAGGGAGACCGACGAGGATGGAGGAGAGGTGAGAAGAGAGAGAGAGAGAGAGAGAGAGAAGAGAGACGGAGATGGAGAGAGGGAGAGAGAAGAGAGAGAGAGGAGGGAGGAGGGAGGAGAGAGAGAGGTGAGAGGTGAAATTGATGTGAGAGAAAGAAAAAAGAAAGATAGAGAGGAAGGAAGAGAAGAGAGAGAGAGGAGAGAAGAGAGAGGAAAAGACAGAGAGAAAGAAAAAAAGATAGAAAGGGAGTCCCACACTCTTTAATTTCCGCCGCCGCGCTTCCGCTTTCAGGCCCCCCGCATAGGGAAAAAGAGGGAAAACAGAGTAGAAAGGGGAGGAAAGAGGGAGGATGTGGGTGAGAGAGAAAAGGAAGTAGGGAAGGGTGTAGAGAGAGAAAGGGGAAAGGGGGAAGAAAGGGTGAAAGGGGAGATGCGGGAAAGGAAAGGGAGGGAAGGAAGAGGAGAAGAAGGAAAAAAGGACAGAAAGGAGAGAAAAGCACGAGATAGGGGAGAGGGAGAGGGAGAGGCGAGAGGGAAGAGAGGGAGGGAGACAAAGACTTTCAAAACGCTTATCCATCAAGGGAAATGCGACCGGGGAAATTTCATGGGAAGATTCGAGGTGGGGGGGGGGGGATAGGAGAAGAAAATGTAGATAAGAATGAGAGATAAGTGATAAAAGTGAGATGAGGGGAAACGATAAAAAACGGGAATAAAGAGGAGTGAAATGAGAACGAAATGAAAAAAAAACAAAAAACAAAAAAACAAAAAAAATGATGTACATGGAAGTTCAATAAGAGAGAGGAAATGCGAAGGTCGAGAAAGGGAAGGGGTAGGAAGATCTCCCATAAGAGCCACATTCCAGTGTCTTATGAAGGAATTTGGGACGTGTGATTGACGCCGCGTTATCTTCCGTTTCCTTCTTGTAAAAATGCTGCTCTCTCTCTCTCTTTCTATGTATCGCTTTCTCCTTCTCTCTCTCTCTTATTCTTCCATTCGTTTATTCACCTCATTTACTCATTCTCTCTCTCTCTTTTCTTTCTTTCTTTCTTTCTTTTCTCTCTCTCTCTCTCTCTCTCTCTCTCTCTCTCTCTCTCTCTCTCTCTCTCTCTCTCTCTCTCTCTCTCTCTCTCTCTCTCTCTCTCTCTCTCTCCCTCCCTCTTCCCTCTCCCTCTCCCTCTCCTCTCTCCCTCTCTCTCTCTCTCTCTCTCTCTCTCTCTCTCTCTCTCTCTCTCTCTCTCTCTCTCTCTCTCTCTCTCTCTCTCTCTCTCTCTCTCTCTCTCTCTCTCTCTCTCTCTCCCTCTCCCTCTCCCCTCTCCCTTCTTCCCTCTCCCTCTCCCTCTCCCTCTCTCTCTCTCCTCTCTCTCCTCTCTCTCCCTCTTCCTCTCCCTCCCCCTCTCCTTCTCATTCCTTTCTTCCTTAATCTGCCTTGGATTTTTTTCTTGATTATTTTATTAATTTACCTAATCCGATCTTGTTAAACTCGCGATAAAAGATGTATAGCTTTTGCGCAAATCATTCACCTTCTTAAATAAATACCGCTTCATTAGCCCGATAAATTTCACTTCAAAGGCAATTTTTATCCTTTGATTTTTTTTTTTTTTTTAACCATTAAAATGTGCAAAGTTAATCGCAATTATCAGGATGAATTATGCATCGGGACCGGGCTTCAGAGGACGTTTCAACCCTTTGAGAGTCGGGGAGAGGTTTCACATTCATTAATTTTTCAACGCTGCTCTTGCCCCTCTCCTCACGGGCAGCAGGGACCCCCCCTCCTCTTCCCCTCGCTCACTCTCTCCCCTCCCTATCCCTTCTTACACCCCCAGTCCTTGTATTGTACTCCCTTTCCCTCCTTTTTCCTCCCCTCCCTTCTCTTTCTTCCTTTCTCTCCCTCCTCTTTCCTCTCTTCTTTTCTCTCCCTTCCCCTCCCTTTCCTCTCTTCTTTTCTCTCCCCTCCCTCCTCTCCCCTTTCTCCCCTTCTCCCTTCCCTCACCCATCTTGTAAATAGACTCCTCAATTATCAGTGGCCCCTCTTCTTTCGTCAGGCCATTTCCTTAGGGGGAAAAACGTGCGTGGAGAGGGCGCGGAAGTGGGAGAGAAGGTCGCGTTCAAGCCCGATGTATTATATATATATATGTGTGTGTGTCTGTGTGTATGTGTGTGTTGTTTCATTTATTTGTGTGTTCTGTTGTTTTCTGTGCATTTCCGTTGTATGAAAGATAGGATGAAAGTGGTTCATAACCCCCTCTCCCCCCCCCTCACTCCCTCACTCACACTTCACCCCTTCACCCTTACCAGAACCCCATTAACCCTCCTTTCTCCCCCCGCAGCGTGGGCCTACCCCCAGGAGTCCGACTACGACGACTACGAGTACGAGGAGGAGGTGGAGGAGTACGGCGATGTCCCCGAGTTCGCCTTCGAGTCTCAGAACCTGGTGGCGAAGGTCGGCGAGACGGTCAACATTCCCTGCCAGATCACCGAGAATAGTAAGTGTCGTCGGGAGTTTTCTTGGGCTTGGGTTGATTTTCAGATGATTTCGGGTGCTGGATAGAAGTAGATAGGCCTGCATCAATTGGTTCTAAGCCGTGTGTCACGAGGAATGCCTGCCGTTAACCCCCGCGGTGTTGCAGGTCCCTTCGTGCTGCTCGTGAAGAAGGCGGCGTCGGGCGACGACAAAGACAAGCTGATCTTCGTGGGCAACGTGAAGGTGCAGCGCGACCGCCGCTACAAGTTCGACAACAACCAGCTCGAGATCTCCAACCTGCGCGCCTCGGACTCCGGCACCTACATCTGCCGCCTCGAGTCGCAGCCGTCGCCCATCGAGCTCCACCACTTCCTCGACGTCCAGTACCCGCCCAAGGTGCAGGCCGTGTCCCCCCCGGAGCACCACGTGAGGAAGGGCGACAACGTGCAGCTGGAGTGCAAGGCCGAGGGCAACCCCCAGCCGGTCATCAGCTGGTCCCGCCTGGAGGGCCGCCTGCCGTCCGGCGCGCAGCACGAGGAGGTGAGTCAGCCGCTATTAATTATGATGATAATGATGATAACAATATTAATAATGGTGATAATAGTGATGATAACAACTGTTATTGTTATTGTTCTTATCATAATTATTATTGTTATAATTTTTGTTATTATTGTTACTATGATATATTTTATTATTATACTATTATTATTATCATATTATTATGCATTCTAAAAATAAGACGTGTCATGTCACTCTGACAAACGTCAAATAGCCAAGCAGATTCCTCAGCCCCCCCCTCCCCTTTCCCTCAGGGCGAGAGCATGACCCTGGCCGACGTCGACCGCCACGTGGAGGGCACCTACACCTGCACGGCCGACAACAGCATCGGAGAACCCGCCTCCGCCTCCATGTCCGTCATCGTCGACTACGAACCTGAGATCATCACTGAAAAGGTGAGCAGCCTTGGCGTCCTGCGCGCTTCGGTCTCTTCGGGTTTTAGTTTTTTAGATTCTTTTGTTTTTATTTGTGTGTATGGCTTTGTTTTGTTTGTCTCTTTCTCTTCTCTCTCTTTCTCTTCTCTCTCTTCTCTCTTTCTCTTTCTCTTTCTCTCTCTTTCTCTTTCTCTTTCTCTTTCTCTCTCTCTCTCTCTCTCTCTCTCTCTCTCTCTCTCTCTCTCTCTCTCTCTCTCTCTCTCTCTCTCTCTCTCTCTCTCTCTCTCTCTTCCGCTGTTTGGCTAAGATACTGATATATAAGAAAATAAAAACGTACGAGTAACATATGTACTTAGTACTGAAAACTTTATTTCCGCAGGGGGAGATTTAAAAGCAAATAAACAGATACTACGTCACGGCAAAATAATATCCATTGTAGCAAGTAGATTTAAGATTATATTTATTTAAATTTACGAATCCCGCGCCCGCAGGCCATCATCCGCTCCGGCGAAGGCGACACCGTGGAGCTGGTGTGCATCGTCCACGCCCGCCCCGCCCCCACCGTGAACTGGACCCTCAACGGCATGCCCGTCGACCTGGACGCCCACGCCGAGGAGAAGGACGGCGGCCACAGGCACTCCCTCAGGATCTCTCAGGTGACCGAGGAGGACTTCGGGGACTACGTGTGCACCGCCCACAACGACCTGGGAACCGTCACCGGATCCATCCACATGACTGGTGATTGGGTTGCTGGGCGTTGTGGTGTTGTTGGTTGCGTTTGTAAGTGGCTTGGTTGAGGTAGGTAGGTATGGTGGATGTCGCTGTGGATGGTGGGCGTGGGATGTATAGGTTGAGGAAAAGTTGATCAGAAGGAAGGACAGAGGAAATGGTATGTGAGAATGTTGCGTTTTTGGTATTGTTTAGATTTTTTTTTGACTGGGGTAATAACATCTTTCTTTGTTTGTTTATAATGTAAGCGGTATCATATAGGATTCTTGATTATGGACTCTTTCTCTATATTATGAAAAATGTGTAATTCAACATGAAAATATAGATATAACCCTTAGAGGCTACAACCAACATATTCTTACAAAGAATTATTGTTTATAGTAAGACTATATTTCAATAACAAGAGTAAATAAGAGTATATATTTCGACACTTGTTACAATTACTTAGCAGCTTCCATTCACCACTAACCCCCTCCCTCCTCCCCTCCTCCTCGGACGCCAGGCCTGCCCAAGCCCCCCCACTTCACCAGCGACCCCAACGGCGGCGAGGAGACCAGCTACACCCTCACGTGGGAGACCGAGAGCTATTATCCTATTGAATCCTACCGACTCAAGTACAGGAAGGCTAAGGTAAGGAACGAGGCTTTCTTTTTTCGCTTTTTCGTTTTTTTATTCCTTTTTTTGGGGTGTAAAATTTATCTTTCGTTCTGCTCTTGTGGATGATTGGATGTTATTAGGTATCTGTTGGTAGAAGGGATTGCTGGGATTTTTGTTTTGTTTTATACGAAAAATAGTTGATAGTCTTGAAAAATATGATTACACATCCTAACCCCCAAAATAACACCCAAAGTAATCAATAAAATCTCTCCCCACTCCCTCACCCCCACACACCCTCTCGCCCCTATCACAACCCACTCTCTCAATTGCCTTTCCACCTCTATCCTCAATTCTCACCCACCTCCACACCCTCTTCCCCCTCCCCCACCTCTACCCCTTCTTCCCCTCCACTCTCTTCCCCTTCCCCTCTCCCTTCCCACCTCCACCCTCCCATCTCTCTTCCCACCTCCACCCCTTCCACCTCTTCCCCCTCCCTTCTCCCTTCTTCCCCTCCACCTCCTCCACCTCCACCCTTCTTCCCCTCCCCTCACCTCCACCCGTTCCCATCTCTCTCTTCCCACCTCAAACCTCCTCTTACCCCTCCCCCCAACCTCCCTCCCCCCACCTCCATCCCTTCTTCCCCTCCCCACCTCCACCCGTCCCCACCTCAACCACCTCCTCCCCTCCACCAGGCCAACGACTCCCACCGACGAGCCGGCGAGTTGGAGCGAGATGACCTACGACGCCAGTGACGTGGAGACGAACGGTTCTGATGCACACCATGAAGCACACGATCGAGGACCTGGAGCCTGCCACCGACTACCACGCCAATGTGCAGATCAAGAACCAGTTCATGTGGGGCGAGAACCAGCAGTTCACTTTCTCCACTAGAAAAGGTGAGATTGAGGGGGGTGCTTGATTTTTTTTTTCTTCTTCTTTTTTTTAAGTGTGGGATATTTTTAGGAGGTTTTTTTTTTCTTTTTCTTTTCTTTTGTTTGGGGTAAGGGTGAGAGGGACTGGGGGTGGAAGGGGAAAGGGATGGAGGGAGGGGAAAAGGAAGGGGAA